AAAAAAAAAAAAACACACAAAAAGACTGAAAGCTTTTTGATTGACTGATTTCCCACCTCCTGCTCCTCCGTGTTGTTTTTTTCTCTCTCCTTCTTGCAGCGCGTCTGACTGCAGCACTCTTGAATAATAACTCCCTCTCCTCCTCCTCCTCCTGCTCCTTCTTCTTCTTCTCTCTCTCTCTCTCTCTCTCTCTCTCTCGGCTATTTAAAATGCCGCTCACAGGCGCGCTCCCGAGCCCGGTTTTAAGCACACGAACACACACCAACTCTCTCTCTCTCTCCGGTCGGGGACGCGCTCGGTTCGCGTCGCGCTGGTCCAAGCCCAATGCGACTATTTTGGCAGGTAAAGTCCACCCGAACACTCCCTTCCTCCCGTTTCCATCAGCTTTGATCTTGATCTCTCCGGAGGTTGCACCGGGAGGAGAAGGAATAAAACAGGTGAGAGCCTCCTTCTATTAAAATTTCATTTAGGAAAAAAAAAGGAGAATAATGAGGAAATCATGGCACATAATGAAGACATGCGGACATTAAACTGTGCGCGCGGAGCAGAATGGATGTTTTAAGGTCTCAAGTATTTTTTTTTTCCTTCTATGTGAGAGACCCCCCTCCTTCCCTTCTCTCTCTCTCTCCCTTCTCTCTCTCTCCTCCCTCCCTCCCCCTTCTCTCTCTCTCTCTCTCCCTTTCTCTCTCCACATCTCTGCATTCTCCTCTTTTAGTCGTGTGGGAAGCTCAGTGAATGCGGCTGCAGAAGGAGCCAGCATACTTATGCGCCTGACACGGATACTGTTCTGTCTTTACAGGAGGGGGGGAAACACAAGCTCGCTCTCCTCCTTCATCGACTCCCCTCCGCTTCTCCTCCTCGACCTGGATATTCGTTTTTCCAAAGGAGGGACGCGCTGAAAAAAAAACAAAATCCCCACATCTTCAAGTTTATTTCGATGCTATTTCTCCTCTCCGGGCCGATGGAAGCGGGAGGGAGCGCGGACTTTCCAGCTCCTCACTTGCACCACAGCGGACTAAAGGCTGAATAACTGCATTATTCATTTTTACGCACCGGTTTCTGTTGTCCTGACTCTTGTTTCTCTGCGCTTTTTTGTCTTGTTTCTCGGTTTGTGTGGTCCAAAGGAGCTTGAATATCGCCTCTTTTTTTTATTTTTTTTGGTAAATTCCCTCCCGTTGGATGAGACTGAAATAATCTGCCTGCAAACAAACGAGAAAAATAAGAGTCTTTTTGGTTTTTTTCCTTCTTTTTTTTGCACAAGGACTGGATTTATGGTGCCTGGATGGAGACTAATACGCTGCTGCTGCACGTAACCTGATGGGAGCGTTTTGGCTGCTTTCGCCCTCTGAAGCGTTCGCCCCGGTGCGCAACTTCGCTCGAAACAAACCAGTATTTATTCATTGGATCGTGGGGGGTTGCTGAGCCGAGCTGAAGCCAGACGCACAGCGCTGGCCATCCTTCCTCTCTCTCTCTCTCTTTCCCTCCCCATTTTCCCTACTCCTCATCCAGTTTCACCCCCTCTAATAAAAAAGGGGAAAAAAACCTCCAACAACTCCAAGAATGACGGACTTATTTGACCGCATCACCGTCCGCCTTGCGCCTTTTTTCACGCCTTGGAGTCGCCGGACGCGCCGTCAAGATCTCTAAAAAAGCTGTCTGCCTCTCCCTTTCTCTCTCTCTCTCTCT